TATAAAATATAACTACACTTATGGAAGTGACAATGTAAAATAAATTCCATCTGAAATTTCTTCTCTATTTATTTAAAATATATTTATGTTCCTAAAACAATATTTTGGATTCACAATTTGTTTCTTCATTATTGAATTAACAACATCTTGTATATAGCTATATTTATTACTAATATATTATTGTCCATTTATTTATTTTTCTAGCTTGAGAATAAAAAAACAATATTTACCATGTGAGCACACAATGCCATCAATGTATTGTTCCATAATTAGTCGCTCATGCCTACACTGTGACTGACTATCAGTTTGATACAAGTATTATTGATAGGATGATTGCGTTTTTAAAAATTATATTGACCATGGCTGAGCTACGTTATAGCCTAAACAAGGACACAGCATTACATATGACAATATGTCCTGGTGATTTCGAATGCGAATAGTTCAAACTGATTGCTTTGTTCCAATTAAGGAATACAATCGTAATACAAGCACATTAATACCGACATCATGACATGACAAAACATAAAGAACAAGATCACGATAGACAATTTAATAATTTCACATTCCAGCATATGTTTATGAAAATTGTGTTAAATGTCATCTTTAATTTAAAAATATATGCACACTAACATATCTTTGTTTGTTTTCCATAGCCAGTTATCTTTCTACATATTCCATTAAATCCTCAATGACCGACATCTTGCGAAATTTCGTATTTTCACAACAAATCAACTATTCCAACACAATGCTTGTGACAATGACCTAGTCAATTTTAACATTATTCCTTAAAAAAGTTTTTAGGAATTACTCATATTCAATCTAACCTTTATCAATGTTCTCAGTACTTGCATACAAATATGGTGACTCTGACACACTAGTAGCTACTATAGCTTCTTCCACCGTTGTGAAATCATCAATATCTTTCAAAGTCAAAACTTCAGTGAAAATTGAAATTAATCTCACCAATAATATTTGAAATATAATTTAATGTGTAAATGTCAACAGTTGCTTCATTTTTATAAGTGTTTTAACAAATGTATTCCAAACGTAAATTGTTAAATACATATTTAGAAAGACAAATCATCACAAAGTCAATTACTCACGGTTAATCACTTTTCAAGTATTTCAAATATGTGTTACACTGTCATAGGGTAAAGGACTGGTATGCCATCATATACATTCAGCGCTCAGTTCGAGTATATATATATATATATACAAAGATTTATGCTCTGTGTAAGGGCAGATTATAACGTTAATTCGAACATTTGCGGTATCAAGTTTTGAATTTTCGAGGAAAAAAATACTCGCCATACCAGTAAAGACAGCCTCTTCTAATAATGCAGTTGTTGGTTGGGTAGATGATTTTGCACCCTTTGTATGTATAACCTGTGTTGTGAAATCTGCAAAAAAAGTTAAAATTAACAATTCAGACAAATTGACTTGTCTAAGTAATAGTATACCTATTGGGTAAAATTAAATATGTTGTTGTAATTCATCTAATCTGAAATATAACCAATTTTTCTAGTTGATAAGTAAGTCATATGCCCCAAAAACAGAAACACCAATTTTCACAGACACGTAACCAGTATACAGTTAGATGGACAGTGCATAGTTCTGCATTTCAGACTGGTTTAATATTTTGCATCAATGTCTTAATACGTATTTGCATGTTATGTTATTAGATAATGACAATAAAATAGTTTTTTTGACGTCCCAATAATGAATGACTTTTGATTAAAAAAACTGACCTTTAGTAGTAGCTTCATCAAAGTGTGTAATAGGTAATTCTGTTGGACCATCAGTAGCCGCTATACTAGAGGCTTCAGTTTTAAAATCTGAAAATGAATGAACAGATGAAGCAGCCGTTAAAAGGTTAATCAACAATAATGCAGATAGAACAAAACTGATATATTTTAACCCTCATTTCATAGTCATGGTACTAGATGATAGTATTAAATAATCGCACATTTAAACGCTTTTTGACATGTCTACAATAATAAAAGTAGTCATAGCGACACTTTCTATTATATTTCGAGTCTGAATTAATTAATTTAAAAAGAGGTAGAATGTGTATCATTTGTCAACATGATTGTAGTGTGTAAGAAAGACAGATAATTAAAGACTGACAAGCAATGACACTTGAGTTGACGCTACAAGTGCTCGATTGAATTAGATGCAAAAATAAGACAACTTTTGTAGTTCCCTTTTCTGATTCTACATCTGTGGCGGACGTCCCACCAGACAGTAAATCTCTGAGGCAATGTTATCAAACAGTTCAATATAATAGTTATTAGGTTTTGAGTTTTCAAACCGTTAATCAATTTTAAATGTTGTCGTGTATATAAATGAAATAGTTGAGTGATGTTTTGAAACGCTGGAATATTTAGCTTTAGTTTTAAAATCTACAATTATACAAAAATTGTATTTTTCCATATATTTAGATTTGTTTACATTTCATGTGTACATTTTATGTGTCATTGTGTTGTTAGTTTAACCATAACAAATGAAACGTGTCTTATTAATCGGTCACATTGTATAGTCGCATCGTGGGTATAATGATCGAGTTCGAATATGGAAATTTCCACAGCTATTTTGAGTATGCCTTTACTAGTAGTACTTCTATCCGTCTTTAGCCTTAAAATGTTGGCTGTAGGGTTCCAATCAGTATTATAGAAACAATTTATAAGTAATAATCATATGAATGAACTATGATTCATTTCAACTCCATTCAGTCGCCCAGGAGTTTGGTTTGTAATATTAATCTCGTCCAAACATTGCCAAAGTAATGTCAATCGCATCCATATCTACCAAGGTAATGTTCATTCAAACAACGATACATGTTAGGTAGTTGTTAACTACATGTGTTCGAACTAACCTCCATAAATTGTTTCAATACTTGTATCTGATGTTGATGCTGTCGGCACAATAGGTGTCGTTAGACGATCTTCATCTGATGTTGTTAAATCAGAAGCTTCAAACATAGTAACAACTTCTGTAAAATATGACAAATATCCGTTGGCGCGCCGTTCTGACTGTACTACATGTTTAAAAAATATGTGGAAATAATTTGTTTCAACAACAACCTTTCCCTAGATAATAATTATACTGAAATATTGGTAAATATTCATATATAATATTAAATTTAACAATCAATTACAAATGTACTACCGATAAACCTAATGTATATGACTTATTCAAATAACTTTTAATTTTATATCGTTGTATATTCAAATGTTAACAAATCACTCAATAACTAATAATTTGCGGTACAATAATGATGGTTGGACACCAAATAGTAATTTATATGAGGAAAATTATTTTGAGTTTTAGAAATAGTTTGGATTCTTAATATTTTGTGCTGTACATTTTTTTCAGGAAATTAGTAGTTTTATATGGCATTACCTGTTAACGTAGCCTCTTCTAATAATGCAGTCGTTGGCTGAGCGGATGTTCTGACAGTGCTAGAATTTGTTGCTTCAGTTGTGAAATCTTACAATAATAAAAACAATATATGATTTTTTAACTTATGTTACTCCGTTGAGGCTATTGAAAAATTGACTATTTTCTTCTAAATTATCTTATCGATTGTTGCATATTCTAGGTTATGTGAGATCAATATAAGAAAGTAATTGCATTATTTCTCTAAACAACCCCAAAGTTAGGCTTAGTATATCGCCACTGAAGGCATAGCGTAATGCAGTAAATCATACCAACTGATCTTGGCAGTATAGTGGGGGCGGGTTCCCACCTGCTCTTTTTGTGTTGACACGCTTTGTGCTGAATTATAGCACACACTATCTTGTCAAACTTTAGCAACATCGATTCAACAAGTAGTTTGCCCGTTGAGGCATCACTGTTTAAAAAGACAATCCTATTTCAAACAAAGATATACTTAAGCTATAAACTATTTTTATATATTGTTCACAAAATTGAAAATAATATCATCATATTTGCAATATGATTTAATTTGTAAATGTCAATAGTTGCTTCACATAAATTTAAAAAAAATAGTTCAAACTTAAATTGTTAGATACATATATAAGAAAACGAAACATTTCATATAAACACCACAAAGGCAATTTACTCAAGATTAATCATTTTTAAATATTCCTATAATAGTGTGAAGACTTGTGTGCCATCTTACACATTCAGTGTTCAGTGAAAGTAGTTATATTCCTATAGCTTAAAGTACTGTGCCTTTATTCAGAATATTATGTTAATTCGGCCAGTTGCGGCTTGATGTGGTGAATTTTCGAGAGAAACATTACTCGCCATATGCCCATAGCAGAAAAAGTTAGCCTCTTCTTTTAATGCAGTTGTTGACTGTGAAAATGATTCCTAATGCTTGTATGTATAGCTTGTGTTGTGAAATCTTAAAACAATATTATTACATTTACATTATTACATTTTTACATGTTTTGTTATTAGTATTTTGACAATAAAATACTCTGTGTGAAGTCCCAATAAATGATTAATGACTGACTGACTGACCTGTAGCTTCATCAAAATGTGAAATAGGTAATTTTGTTGACCCATCAGTAGCCGCTACTCTAGAGGCTTCAGTTTTAAAATCTGGAAATGAACAGATAAGGCAGACTTTCAGATGTTAATCAACATTAATGAAGATAAAACACAAACAAATGATTTTAACTCTCATGTCGTAGTCTTGGTACTGAGTCATAGTAGTAAACAAACGCACCTTCAAAAGCTTTTGGCAATTTATTTTATTTAATAAAAAAAATGGTAGATTTTGTCTTGACAGAATGACAGACTAGTGCAGATTGACAAACATTAACATAGACGTTGATGCTACTAGTGTTCGAACAAAATACACAACTTTTGTAGTCCCTTTCTCTGATTTACACCTATTCCAACAGTCCCATCAGATTCTGTTCTTAAAACATCTATTGTCAGTAAATCTGTGAGACAACTTTATGAAACCATTAATATTAATAATAATTATATTAATAATCTCTACCGACAATAAGTTCAGTTTTGATATACATCGTATCCAAATTCCCCAAAGCTTTTTCCAAACCATTACATGATTTTATCTGTAATTGTTGCAATGTCGATTAATGGAATACTTTATGGTATTAGTTGTTCTGAAAACCCTAGAATACTTAACTTCAGTTGGGAATTCTAAAAAAGTTAACTTCAACAATTATACAAAGGATGTTCCTTTTTAACACAATTTGCACTTTTAGGGATGCTAATGAACTCGCAACAACATTCTGAAATTAAAATAGCCACACTATATTCATAGGTATTCATAGAGATAAACAATATGAATACCATACAAGTCATCATTGCGTAAACAGAGAAACAAAATTAACATATCCATATATTCATGAACAAGACATTTGTTTCATGTTATGTGTACTGGTGAAGACTTTTTGTGTTGTTTATGTAAGCATAATAAGTGTTCATGATCTACTCGCGTTGTTTTGTCAATACACTAATAAACAAACTTACAATTTTGACATCAATTGTGTCATTTTGAAAATATTGTAGTGGTTTTGGTGCTTCCTATTACAGTTGATTATCATTGTGAGCTTTTCAATGATACCTGCCTTATTAGTCAGTCATATTGTACAATGTTCTATACTTTAGGTATTTTATTTGCCGTATAGTGGGTATAATGATCGTGGTTGAATATGAAAAATTCACAGATGTCTTAGGTATCCTTTCACTAGTTTACTGGCAGTGAGTCTATCTTTGTCGAGCCTTGCAATGTTGGCTGTATTCCCCAAACCATTTATATGTAATAATGAGCTGCGTTTTATTTCATTTAAACTCCACTCGACTAGAAGTATCATTTTGAATAGTAATCTCATCCAAACATGCCTAATGTGATCGCATCCATGTCTACCAAGGTAATGTTTATTTAATCAATGATACATGTTAGGTAGTTGTTACCTACATGTGTTCGAACTAACCTCCATTAATTGTTTCAGTACTTGTAGCTGATGTTGTTGATGCCGTCTCACTGGAAGTTGTTGAATGTTCTACATCCGATGTTATCAAACCAGAAGCATCAAATGTAGTAATAATTTCTGTAAAACATGAAAAGCAAATATCTGTCAGATTGCAATCCTGAATTTTCAACAAGTTTGCAAAATATGTGGTCAAAACCATTCGAATATTGTTTTGCTAGGTACTAAGTATACCTAAATATTTAGAAATATTGTTAATATAATACTCAATTCAACAATCAATGACTTATTGAAATACAGTTCATATTTTTCAAATTTTAACAAATCACTCAATAACCATAATGACACCAAATAGTAATTTATAATAAGAAAATTATTTCTGATCCAAAGCCGACAACACGAAAGAATATTGCTTATCATATTGCTATACAACATATTTTTATACAGCTAGTTTGGATGTTTACAGTTTCTAGTAACATTTGTATGTAACTGATAAGTTGTATATGACATCTGTTACTGTAGCTTCTTCTAATGAATGAATGAATGAATGAATGAAAGTTTATTTCACTATAAACATATAGTAATATAGTGATATATACACAAATGAGTAAATAAAATTAAGTAAATAAGTGTATAAATTGAATTTTAAATATAAATATTTTTTTTAGATATTTATATAAATTGTTTATAGTGAGGGAACTAGTCTAGTCCGTAACCCTATGCAGTCGTTGGCTGAAAGGATCTTTTAACAGTGCTGGAATGTATTGCTTCAGTTGTAAAATCTCAGAAAATAGTTAAATTCAATAATCAAAACAAAGATATATGACTTGTTTAACTCGTGTTTCTCCCTTGGGGCTATTGGTAAATAATCATTTTCTTCTAAATTATCTTCTTATATAAAATATTAATAGAGTTATATACATAATTAATTAATAATTATAATAATAACAATTCTCCAAATATCAGTAACAAATATACTAACAAAATTGATGGAAGCGGAACATCACAAACCCCCACAATAAGTCAGACCAGGTGCACGTGAAGGGTAAGGAATTCATACAATTGCAGTTCAGAATCAGGGGAGAATAGATTGTATCAGGTGCATCGAAATGTGCATCTATGCTCAATTTCCGAATTATTTGAGTATACTTGCTAGTGATTTTAATTTGTTAGCACAGTACTTTAAATACAACTGATTGTACCAGACTGAAATGACCTTTGTAACAATTTTAACCAGGCGGCTAGGTTGTAATTCGGCCACACGGTCCGCAAATATTGATTCAATATTTATTTTATTTATTTTTTTATTTATTTAAAAAGAAGATAAGTTTAAAAGAAGGTACCAAATAACATTAGAGGAATTGATATAACCTACCTGGAAGAGTTATCTCCTTAATTGCAGATTGGATTTCTTCAGTGGTAACACCTATATGTGGAATAATAGACATCGTTTCAAATACATCTGATATCGTTTTACTTGTGGTAGAACCTAATGACATAAAATATATAAGTATATAAGTATAAGTAAATCAACATTTGACCCCCTAATCAGATGTGTTAAATAGAATTAATTTCAATAGCTTCGAATTTGAAATACAACTACAATCATGAGAGTGACAATGTAAATAAATTCAATCTGGAATTTCTTCTCTATATATTTAATATATATCTACTATATATCTACTATAGCTTATTCGAGTGTTTTCAAATCATCCTTATTTTTCAAAGTCAAAACTTCTGTGAAAATTGAAATTAATCTCACCAGTAATATTTGACATATAATTTAATGTGTAAATGTCAACAGTTTATAAGTATTTATAAGTGTTTTAACAAATGTATTTCAAAGGTAAATTGTTAGATACATATTTGAAAAGACAAACCATCGCAAAGGCAATTACTCAAGGTTAATAACTTTCCAAATATTCCTATCAAATGTGTGTTACACTGTCATAGGGTAAAATACTGGTATGCCATCATATAAATTCAGTGCTCAGTGCAAGTATATATATTCCTAAGCTTTATGCTCTGTGTTAGGGCAGATTATAATGTTAATTCAAACAGTTTCAATTTCAAGTTTTGAATTTTCGAGGCAAAAATACTCGCCATACCAGTAAAGGTAGCCTCTTGTAATACTGCAGTTGTTGGTTGGGTAGATGATTTTGCAACGCTTGTATGTGTAGCCTGTGTTATGTAATCTGCAAAAACAGTTAAAGTTAACAATTCAGACAAATTAACTTGTCTAAGAAATATTATACTCATTGGGTAAAATTGAATATGTAGTGAAAATTATATAATCTGAAATATAACCACTTATTCTAGTTAATGAGTAAGTCATGTGCGGCAAAACAGAAACACCAGATGCACAGTACGTAACCAGTTAGATGGACAGTAAATATTTCTGCCTTTCTGACTGGATCATATTTTGCATCATTGTCTGTTATTAGATAATGACATGAAATAGCTTTTGTGACTTCCCAAAAAATGAATAA